TATCCGCCGTCAGTGCCTGTTAAGCGGATCGGCTTCTTTTGGGTGGAGTGCGGATCAAGCAGGGCGGGAGGAGAAAGAGCCCTGCAAGCCGGACAGACCCGGGGCTTCATGGTAGAGGCCGGCTACCCCCGGTATCAGTGGGGCGGAGACATCGAAAAGGGCATCCGCGATGGGCACTGGGTCTCGCTTTGCTCTCTCTCTCTCGCCGAGATGACAAAAGCAGCCGGCTCGGGAGGAAGTGCGGCGCTAGAAAGGAAGAGTCTCCTATACTCCCTACAGAAAGCCCCCAAGGACCCTCGACGCCACAGCCCGCCCGGTCATCCCACCCATCTTTCTTTCGCTGGCCCTCCGCTCAGCATCCTTACCTGAGAAAGCCCAAGAAGAGATGGGAGGAGGGAGCGGGGGAGGCCGCCGGCCGGTAGAGAGCAAGCGGGGCAGGTGCGCGTGCGCGTGCGCAGCCTTTCCAAGCGTTCCGAAAAGCAAGGAGTGCTGCGGCCGCCCGAACGCTACTGAGAGGCTGTGGTTGTGTCCTGTCTGAGCAGGCTGGGAAGTTTCTGCCCTACTAAATGTCGCCGCTGATGCAATGAACCTTACAAAACAAGGCCATAGGAAGCCCTTTCTTCCCTGCCGGGTTGCTGCCTTACTCATCCTTGCTTCTGAGGGTCTAGATGAGTCAGTTTAAGACCTTGTCGCTTTGTTTTTCAGGGCTTCTGATCTTTTAACAGGGGAAAATTCTACAAGCCAGGCTTTTAGCTGTTGCTGCCATGGAGAGAAACAATGCCATCTGCATTTGGACCTGCCTCACAGTTTTGAGAATGCCATTTGTTCACCACGTTGTCAGTTATTTTGGTGATGGCTTTCGGTGGCTGGCCTGCCACATCATGCTCTAACTTGTGATTTGTTTCTGTGATAATTGTCGAGCAAGCCACACTGACTGGAATCACATAGCAATATGAAAATATCAACCCATACATCCAGGCAACAATGTCTTCCTCCTCCTCCTCCTCCTCAGTTTATCTATCATAACTACATATTTTTAAATAACATAATATAAAAATAACAGCATCAGAGAAACAGTCACAATACCCAATCAGCAGAAGGAGGTCAGCCTTATCATCAGTTTGATTACAGGTGAGTCATGTTCTACTTTGGGCCAATTCAAAGAACTGTTTGAGTCAAGACAGCAACTAGCTGCCAAAAATGTCTTATTGATGGCCAACCAATCATGGACTAGTTCCATGACAAGGAGAATTAAGTATCTTGGGGCAGCACCACAACACCTTTTAAAACTTATGAGCCAGCTGTTCAAAAGGAGGAAAAAAAATATAAGGTGCCCCTACAGGAGAAAATCTCTTGTGTGTACCCTAGAGGTCTCTGGACTATAGTGAATTGTGGGTGTACTTATAAAACATTTCTAATACAAAATGTGTGATATGATTTGAATGTACGCTGGCAGAACAGGATCTCCTTCTTTAATAATTTATTCTACTTTTGCAGTTTAAATGTGTGAAATATACTGTTAGTGTGGATAAAAGAATAAACATGGTATGTGAAGTGTACACTTCTGTGAACTTTGCTTAAGAAATTCAGATTATCACTTCAGGTAATCCAGAAAATTCACTAAAAAGAGGTCATATCAGAAATTCTGAAATTACACATACCACATAAAAAGACACTAGAGTTCAACTAACCAAGCAAACATTTTTCAATACTGAATCTCCTATAATTCAAAAGATAAGGAAAAATTGTGTTACATAAAAAGTGCACAACTTATAACAACAACAACAAAAAAATCAAAAGCATTACCAGAATGATTGTGGAACTACTTTTAGTCAACTTACATAGAACAAGGTTGACTCAGAGGAAGGATGTGTAGTTGTATGATTTCAACATTTAACAATGTTCCAATTAGGGCAGTGCTAGTAGGGTAGGGAAGTTGCATCAACTAACTTTATCCTCACCATATTATCCAGGCATTTAGAGCATATGAAAAGAGGGGTTCATGCACAAGAGGGGGAACTCAAACCCAATCATCTCCCTTTCAACTGAAATTCTACATATGTATATGAAACATGTATCCAAAGTGACATTTCTGCCAATTGAGACAATCTCATCAGGAAAAAAAAGTATTAATGTAAATAAGTGATGGTGTCCATATTGGACTGTCCCTATTCTTCATTATGGCATTTTTCAAACATTTTTGATGCTGGGTTAATTTTTCTGCTAGTGCAGTTTCCCATTGATCCAGTGACAATTGCACTTTCATTTTCTAGTGTTTCACAAGAACAATTCTGCTAATGTCAGTCCTTCAAGGTAGGCCAGACTTGAACACCAGAGTCATGAATACTAAAACTACTTTTACTATAGTTTAGTAATAAAAGTAACAGAAGTAACAGGTTAAGTAACAGAATCTTGCAACTCTGAATGTGCCTCCCCCTTCTGTGCCTTTATCCTAAAGAGAACTAGGGAGGATCAAGTCTGAGTTGCTTTCTCAAATTCCATTTCTGCTTTAGGCTCAGATTTCTCTTATCTGACAATTGCCTTGGCTGTGGCTCCTCCTCCTCTTCCTCAAGGTAGTTCTCACAGCCCATTACATCTAACAAGAGAAATGGAGTATTTTATGCAATACTGATTTATTTGTTGTAAGAAATATAGACAATAATCCTATTGTGTGATTCATTTTGAAAGATAATTATGTGGCTTTCTTTACTTCATCAGAAGTTTGACCAACATTTTTGCACATTAGGCATTGTCACAAAATATGCAAATTACAGTGGGGCAAAAAAGTATTTAGGCAGCCAATTGTGCAAGTTCTCCCACTTAAAAAGATGAGAGAGGCCTGTAATTTTCATCATAGACATTAGGCATTGTCACAAAATATGCAAATTACAGTGGGGCAAAAAAGTATTTAGTCAGCCACCAATTGTGCAAGTTCTCCCACTTAAAAAGATGAGAGAGGCCTGTAATTTTCATCATAGACATTAGGCATTGTCACAAAATATGCAAATTACAGTGGGGCAAAAAAGTATTTAGGCAGCCAATTGTGCAAGTTCTCCCACTTAAAAAGATGAGAGAGGCCTGTAATTTTCATCATAGACATTAGGCATTGTCACAAAATATGCAAATTACAGTGGGGCAAAAAAGTATTTAGGCAGCCAATTGTGCAAGTTCTCCCACTTAAAAAGATGAGAGAGGCCTGTAATTTTCATCATAGACATTAGGCATTGTCACAAAATATGCAAATTACAGTGGGGCAAAAAAGTATTTAGGCAGCCAATTGTGCAAGTTCTCCCACTTAAAAAGATGAGAGAGGCCTGTAATTTTCATCATAGACATTAGGCATTGTCACAAAATATGCAAATTACAGTGGGGCAAAAAAGTATTTAGGCAGCCAATTGTGCAAGTTCTCCCACTTAAAAAGATGAGAGAGGCCTGTAATTTTCATCATAGACATTAGGCATTGTCACAAAATATGCAAATTACAGTGGGGCAAAAAAGTATTTAGGCAGCCAATTGTGCAAGTTCTCCCACTTAAAAAGATGAGAGAGGCCTGTAATTTTCATCATAGACATTAGGCATTGTCACAAAATATGCAAATTACAGTGGGGCAAAAAAGTATTTAGGCAGCCAATTGTGCAAGTTCTCCCACTTAAAAAGATGAGAGAGGCCTGTAATTTTCATCATAGTTTAAGTGGGAGAACTTGCACAATTGGTGGCTGACTAAATACTTTTTTGCCCCACTGTATGTATCTATTTATTTACATTCTTGCCAACACACTCTAGAATGATTGCAATTAATGTACAGGTGGCCCTTGTTTAACGACCACTTGTTCAGCGACTGTTCAAACTTACAGCACTGAATGAGTGGTAGTTACGACTGGTTCTCATACTTACGGCTGTCACAGCATCTCCACGTTCACGTGATCTGCACGGTCCTTGCTTAACATCAGCAACTGGGACTGCCGTAACTATCATTGCTAACCAATGCAATCACATAGTTTTTCAACTTACAACCATGTCACTTAATGACAGAGTTTCCAGTTACAATTAGTGTTGTTAAGCGAGGACTACCTGTTGTAATGTAATTTTAATGGAGTATATAATACCATTGATGTCAAGTCTTGATGATTTGCTGAAATGGATTCAAAAGGAATTCATAAAATATTCCACTGAGATTTGATCAAGTTCAGAATCTAAATCCAGTTCCCATACTTTTTAAACTTTCAGATATAGGTAGCCAGATATTACTCTATGGGGTTCAAACTTTCTACTAGGAATTGAACTCACAGACCTTCATCCTTTAGCTGCATTAGCTTTAGGAGCTATCCACATCCCCATCTGGCTATTCATGTTTGAGAAGTTCCCAAAAGGATGAAACTGATCATGTAGTGCCTCCTGGTGGTCAGTGTAGCTGAAAATATCACCCAGGATATATGCTCTGTAAAAGTAGAAAAATTTCTCCCTCCCAAGGGCAGTGGTGGCAGGCATCACATCATATAACATCTGTATCTCTCTGCTCTGAGAGCTTAAGAGAAGAATCTGTAGATGATAATAAAACATTGTGTTCAATCAGTGAGATTCCTTTACTGTTAAAAGAAACAGAAATGCAATCACTTCCCAAATACTTGTTACCAATACATTAACCATTATGTATCAACTGATATGGCCTGCATTTGTGAAGAAAAGATAATATTTCCTGTATTTGAAACCAGGCTGGGGATTGTGATCATTCTTTTTGCTGTACATATTCCATGATGGTATATATATATTCCAATATATTATTATTATTATTAAGAATTATAATTCTCTATAATTAGGTTCCTAATTAGATTAAGTCCTCTTTCCTCTGATTGATAGATTTGAGCAAATTTATCTTCAATGCTAGAATAGTGGATGATCAAGAAATGGGATAAGAGTCAGATTACAGAACAAAATATATTGCCATTTAATCCAAACTTTTATGATAAATACAGGCTAATTATAGTTTTTATTAGTTTCTTACTATCCAAAAGAAATGATGTCACTCTGACTGCAGGAGAGGCAAGTGCCAGTTCAATTCACAGTCACTGTACACATTTAGATTTTCAAATAATTGTATTTCATATTATTATTCATTCATATTATTATTATTAAAATAATGTTTAGATTTGGCTCAGATTATTATTAAAAATAATATTTCAGATTTGGTTTTCCTAGATCTTTCTTTTCTTTTCTTTTCATTTATACTGGATGACTTGTCTGATTCTAGATGTTCTACAATTATGAATGAAAGACTGCATTATTCCATCTGCTCTACTAAACTGATTAGTAGGCATTGATATTGTCCATG